CTCCTCTTCCAATTACTGTCTGTGCTGGCCCAGCTCCTCCCTCCTTGCACGTCATAGCCCTCTCCTCTTCTGGGAGTGTCTAATTATGTCTGTGGTGGCCCAGCTCCTCTCTCCTTTTCTGTCATAGACCTCTTCTCTTCTGGGAATGTCTAATTATGTCTATGCTGGCCCAGCTCCTCTCTCCTTACACGTCATAGCCCTCTCCTCTTCTGGGAGTGTCTTAATTATGTCTGTGCTGGCCCAGCTCCTCTCTCCTTACACGTCATAGCCCTCTCCTCTTCTGGGAGTGTCTTAATTATGTCTGTGCTGGCCCAGCTCCTCCCTCCTTACATGTCATAGCCCTTTTCTTTTCTGGGAATGCCTAATTATGTCTTTGTTGGCCCAGCTCCTCTCTCCTTACACGTCTTAGCCCTCTCCTCTTCTGGAAATGTCTAATTATGTCTGTGCAGGCCCAGCTCCTCCGTCCTTGCATGTCATAGCCCTCTCTTCTTCTGGCAATGTCTAATTGCTGTCTCTGCTGGCCCAGCTCCTCCTTCCTTACACATCATTGCCCTTTTCTCTTCTGGCAATGTCTAATTATGTCTGTGCTGGCCCAGCTCCTCTCTTCTTACATGTCATAACCCTCTCCTCTTCTGGCAATATCTAATTGCTGTCTGTGTTGGCCCCCCTGTGTTGGCCCCCCCTGTGTTAGCCCCCCCCCTTTGTTGGCCCAGCTCCCCCCCCCCCCCCCTCACCTCTCTTTTTAACTTTGCATGCAGTAATCAGGGGAGGAGTGAAGGGGAATACTATAGAGTGTCAGTTGAGTGACAGCTCTGAGTTTTCTGGGGCTGCTGACAACACATCCAAGATGGCGGCATGGAGCATCGGGGCTCTGGGAGGTCTACACAAGGAAGGATTTTACAGGGAAACACTGAGCATATATAACCTGCGGGGAGATTATTGCTGAAATGAAAAGTCTGCTGACAGAGGCTCTTTCCCAAATTCTATTCTAAAACAATGGAGCTATCGCAATGGCAGCTTAGTGAATAAGCCCCTACGGAGGGAGTCACTGGCCCCGGGGCCCGGTTCACAAGTCGGGGTAATGGCGGGTTCTAACAGAGGTTCTGGAAAGGGGCTTCACTGTGATCCATTTCAGGGTAAACCCAATTGTATCTCCAATTCCCTTCTTCCTTGGCGAGTATTACCAGACCGCGAGGATCGCCGTATCTTTCCGCGGAAATAAAGACAACATTTTTTTTTCTTTAATTTACTGCTCATCCCTGCCTGCCTTTTGTGTGTTTCCCATAAAGCGTCCCGCCGTGGACACAGGCAATTCAGAATGTGCAATGAAGCTGAAACATCGGATAGAAGCTGGGCGAGTCGGACCTGACAAGGCATTGTCCTGGCTTTGTCTTGGTGGGTGGAGGCAGCTTGTTTGTGGGGGGGTTCAGTCTCTTACGGCATGGAGACATGTAATGGGGGTGTGGTCGTGATGGGTTCATTTGGCTGCAATCGGCTCTTGCACCGGAACTACCAACTTTTCACTGATTTTTAGATTTGTATGTTAATGTTACATAGTTATATCATGACATTGTTATGTGGTTACATAGTTACTGTATTTATCGCTCCATAAGACGCGCCTAGGTTGTAGAGGAGGAAAACAAGAAACAAAATATTCTGAACCAATGGACTGCAGACATAGTACAGGAGATGACCAGAGACTGCGGACACAGTACAGGAGATTACCAGAGACTGCGGACACAGTACAGGAGATGACCAGAGACTGCGGACACAGTACAGGAGATGACCAGAGACTGCGGACACAGTACAGGAGATGACCAGAGACTGCGGACATAGTACAGGAGATGACCAGAGACTGCGGACACAGTACAGGAGATGACCAGAGACTGCAGACATAGTACAGGAGATGACCAGAGACTGCGGACACAGTACAGGAGATGACCAGAGACTGCGGACACAGTACAGGAGATGACCAGAGACTGCGGACATAGTGCAGGAGATGACCAGAGACTGCAGACATAGTGCAGGAGATGACCAGAGACTGCGGACACAGTACAGGAGATGACCAGAGACTGCAGACATAGTACAGGAGATGACCAGAGACTGCAGACATAGTACAGGAGATGACCAGAGACTGCGGATACAGTACAGGAGATGACCAGAGACTGCGGACATAGTACAGGAGATGACCAGAGACTGCAGACATAGTGCAGGAGATGACCAGAGACTGCGGACATAGTACAGGAGATGATCAGAGACTGCGGACACAGTACAGGAGATGACCAGAGACTGCGGACATAGTACAGGAGATGACCAGAGACTGCAGACACAGTACAGGAGATTACCAGAGACTGCAGACACAGTACAGGAGATGACCAGAGACTGCAGACACAGTACAGGAGATGATCAGAGACTGCAGACATAGTACAGGAGATGATCAGAGACTGCGGACACAGTACAGGAGATGACCAGAGACTGCGGACATAGTACAGGAGATGACCAGAGACTGCAGACACAGTACAGGAGATTACCAGAGACTGCAGACACAGTACAGGAGATTACCAGAGACTGCAGACACAGTACAGGAGATGACCAGAGACTGCAGACACAGTACAGGAGATGATCAGAGACTGCAGACACAGTACAGGAGATGACCAGAGACTGCAGACACAGTACAGGAGATGACCAGAGACTGCGGACACAGTACAGGAGATGACCAGAGACTGCAGACATAGTACAGGAGATGATCAGAGACTGCGGACACAGTACAGGAGATGACCAGTGACTGCAGACACAGTACAGGAGATGACCAGAGACTGCGGACATAGTGCAGGAGTGACCAGAGACTGCGGACATAGTACAGGAGATGACCAGAGACTGCGGACACAGTAGAAGAGATGACCAGAGACTGCGGACACAGTACAGGAGATGACCAGAGACTGCAGACACAGTACAGGAGATGACCAGAGACTGCGGACACAGTACAGGAGATGACCAGAGACTGCGGACACAGTACAGGAGATGACCAGAGACTGCGGACACAGTACAGGAGATGACCAGAGACTGCGGACACAGTACAGGAGATGACCAGAGACTGCAGACATAGTACAGGAGATGACCAGAGACTGCAGACATAGTACAGGAGATGACCAGAGACTGCAGACATAGTACAGGAGATGACCAGAGACTGCAGACACAGTACAGGAGATGACCAGAGACTGCGGACACAGTACAGGAGATGACCATTTGTAAAAAAATGTGAAAACCATTTCTCATCTTCCTTCCCCTTCACAATTATGAGCCACTTTGTATTGGTCCATCTCATCCAATCCCAATAAAATACATTTACTACATAACTATGTAACCTTTTTTTTTATGGTTGAACTGGATAGACTTTTTTCAGCCAGACTAACTATGTAACTATGTTATACCTACAGTGCCTTGAAAAAGTATTCATACCCCTTGAAATTTTCCACATTTCGTCATGTTACAACATGTAAATCCTGTATAATAATAATAATAATTTACCTTTTTGATTGTAACATGACAAAATGTGGAAAATTTTAAGGGGTATGTAACGGAACCGGACCCCGACTGCACTGGGGTATTTCCGTTAGACTCCCGCTTCCCTGTCCGGACACAGATCCACGGACCCCCACCGCTGACCATACAAGAGGAGACAACCAGACTTGTATTAAAACAGGAAATGGACTGCTTTATTTTAACACAGACACAGGATATATACACAGGGCGGGGCAATACATTTAGTAACAAGAGACACACAGCAGACACCTCCCACCAATACACAAACACATACATCCCATAATAGTTTGTTGGCAAGCAAGACACAATAGAACAATGGGACCACCTGGCAGTAAACAATGAACAACCCCCCCACCCCACCTATACATGTCTACTCAATAGCAGAACATTTCACTCTGTACCCCTAACAGGCACAGGGTGACTTACACATAATAGGGATATGGGGAGCTGAGACAGGGGTCTCCCCACCTCTCCAAAGTAAGCTGTGTTCCATGGGCCCCCCACCCAAAGTAACTCCCGTCACAGGGTATGAATACTTTTTCAAGGCGCTGTAGGTATAAGGTTCCGTAGGTATATAGTTATGGTATGCTGTATCGCTACATTAGTATATGGCAAATGTTACATATTAATATTTCGGCTTTACATAGCCAGCAGGTGTACTACTAGACTCATTTCACTTTGTTATTTACAGAGCTCAATATCTCAAGCCGAAATGTGCACTCCTAACCCATCGAGGCACTGGAGTGACCTCTCCCTTCTCCCTCCCTGCCTCCTTCTGCCCACTCTGCTTAGATGGAACCCAGCAGTTTCAATCAGAGAGAGAGAGACAGGCAGAAGGCAAACATCTTCCGCCATGATTTTCCTGCATGCGCTGCGTCACCACGACAGATCCAGGTTTGTTTGTAAAGAAAAATATTTTAGATACATTTATCAAAAAGATACAAAACACCAATTCCATAAAATCAATAAATAGAACTGAACGCGGGTCATTATTGATATGTTTGTAATGTAGGTGATCATGTCAGTGAGAACTCTTGTTTTAGGTATAACTCCATGTCTACCGGGAAGCCACGTTTGGTTGAGTAGTAGTTTTGCACAGTGATTGTGCCTCACCGCTCCTCCTATTATGGTCCAAGTCTATAGGTCTATTGGGGCCTCGTTGAAAAAAAAAAATAGAGAAGCCTTTCTCACCCTTTTTGTCCCTGAAGAACCTTTGAAATAATTTTCAGTTTTTGGGGAACCTCAACTAAACCAATTCATTGGGGGTCAATGAATAAAATGTCCCTTACATTGGTGATCAGTGGGAAGAATGTCCCTTACATTGGTGATCAGTGGGAAGAATGTCCCTTACATTGGTGGTCAGTGGGAAGAATGTCCCTTACATTGGTGATCAGTGGGAAGAATGTCCCTTACATTGGGGGTCAGTGGGAAGAATGTCCCTTACATTGGTGATCAGTGGGAAGAATGTCCCTTACATTGGTGATCAGTGGGAAGAATGTCCCTTACATTGGGGGTCAGTGGGAAGAATGTCCCTTACATTGGGGGTCAGTGGGAAGAATGTCCCTTACATTGGGGGTCAGTGGGAAGAATGTCCCTTACATTGGGGGTCAGTGGGAAGAATGTCCCTTACATTGGGGGTCAGTGGGAAGAATGTCCCTTACATTGGTGATCAGTGGGAAGAATGTCCTTTACATTGCTGGTCAGTGGGAAGAATGTCCCTTACATTGGTGATCAGTGGGAAGAATGTCCCTTACATTGGGGGGTCAGTGGGAAGAATGTCCCTTACATTGGGGGTCGGTGGGAAGAATGTCCATTACATTGGTGATCAGTGGGAAGAATGTCCCTTACATTGGGGGGTCAGTGGGAAGAATGTCCATTACATTGGTGATCAGTGGGAAGAATGTCCCTTACATTGGGGGGTCAGTGGGAAGAATGTCCCTTACATTGGTGGTCAGTGGGAAGAATGTCCCTTACATTGGTGATCAGTGGGAAGAATGTCCCTTACATTGGGGGTCAGTGGGAAGAATGTCCCTTACATTGCTGGTCAGTGGGAAGAATGTCCATTACATTGCTGGTCAGTGGGAAGAATGTCCATTACATTGGTGATCAGTGGGAAGAATGTCCCTTACATTGGGGGGTCAGTGGGAAGAATGTCCATTACATTGGTGATCAGTGGGAAGAATGTCCCTTACATTGGGGGTCAGTGGGAAGAATGTCCCTTACATTGGGGGGTCAGTGGGAAGAATGTCCTTTACATTGGGGGTCAGTGGGAAGAATGTCCCTTACATTGGGGGGTCCACCAGTGGGAAGAATGTCCCTTACATTGGAGGTCAGTGGGAAGAATGTCCCTTACATTGGGGGTCAGTGGGAAGAATGTTCCTTACATTGGGGGTCAGTGGGAAGAATGTCCCTTACATTGGTGATCAGTGGGAAGAATGTCCCTTACATTGGTGGTCAGTGGGAAGAATGTCCCTTACATTGGGGGTCAGTGAGAAGAATGTCCCTTACATTGGTGGTCAGTGGGAAGAATGTCCCTTACATTGGTGATCAGTGGGAAGAATGTCCCTTACATTGGTGGTCAGTGGGAAGAATGTCCCTTACATTGGGGGTCAGTGGGAAGAATGTCCCTTACATTGGTGGTCAGTGGGAAGAATGTCCCTTACATTGGTGATCAGTGGGAAGAATGTCCTTTACATTGGAGGTCAGTGGGAAGAATGTCCCTTACATTGGGGGTCAGTGGGAAGAATGTCACTTACATTGGTGGTCAGTGGGAAGAATGTCCTTTACATTGGAGGTCAGTGGGAAGAATGTCCCTTACATTGGGGGTCAGTGGGAAGAATGTTCCTTACATTGGGGGTCAGTGGGAAGAATGTCCCTTACATTGGTGATCAGTGGGAAGAATGTTCCTTACATTGGTGGTCAGTGGGAAGAATGTCCCTTACATTGGTGGTCAGTGAGAAGAATGTCCCTTACATTGGTGATCAGTGGGAAGAATGTCCCTTACATTGGGGGTCAGTGGGAAGAATGTCCCTTACATTGGTGGTCAGTGGGAAGAATGTCCCTTACATTGGGGGTCAGTGAGAAGAATGTCCCTTACATTGGTGATCAGTGGGAAGAATGTCCCTTACATTGGGGGTCAGTGGGAAGAATGTCCCTTACATTGGTGGTCAGTGGGAAGAATGTCCCTTACATTGGTGGTCAGTGAGAAGAATGTCCCTTACATTGGTGATCAGTGGGAAGAATGTCCCTTACATTGGGGGTCAGTGGGAAGAATGTCCCTTACATTGGTGGTCAGTGGGAAGAATGCTCCTTGAATTGGTGGTCAGTGGCAAGAATGCTCCCCTTTCAGTGGTGGTCAGAATGCCACCATTTCAGCTGGCTCTGCCAAGTGGAGTTGGCCCTGGAACTATGCAGGCACCTTCAGATGAGAAGACAATCATTTGCAGCTCAAGGAACCCCCAGCAACCTCTGGATGAAACTTTGGATTCCACAAACCCTAGTTTAGAATGGCTGAACTGTGGGTTAGAGGGTAGTGAGACTCACAGGTAGCGGGTTACTGCCTCCAGGTCCCTGGGGGCCCTCATGCGTATTTAAACACCAATTTTCAGCTGACCTTGGAATGAAGCATGTTCATGCACCTCTGGCAATGCCTTATCAAGGGAGAAACAATAACCAGTCCAACCTTCTACCTGAATGCTAAGTGGTGGAAGAGAAAAAGGTATCAAATCAGCTAGTATTAGAATACTGTTTATTGAGGGATTCAGATATCTCTTTTACTTCATCCAATTTCAATTATTGCTCAAATCCTCACATTTATTAAAATAAAAATAGGAGCTTTCTCTGCGATACTCATCTCCAGCACTGTCCACCTGATACTCAGTACTTCAGAACAGGTCCCCGTTAGGTTAAAGGATGTTCTGCCCTCCATGTCCTCTGGTCCCCCCCCCCCCCCCCCCAGGATACATCATCATACTAAAAAGTATTTAGTCCGCCACCAATTGTGCAAGTTCTCCCACTTACAAAGATGAGAGAGGCCTGTAATTGGCATCATAGGGAGACCTCAACTATGAGAGACAAAATGAGAAAACAAATCCAGACAATCTCATTGGCTGATCTGGAAAGAATTTATTTGCAAATTATGGTGGAAAATAAGTATTTGGTCGCCTACAAACAAGCAAGATTTCTGGCTCTCACAGACCTGGACCTTCTTCTTTAAGAGGCTCCTCCGTCCTGCACTCATTACCTGTATCAATGGCACCTGTTTGAATTTGTTATCAGTATAAAAGACATCTGTCCACAACCTCAAACAGTCACACTCCAAACTCCACTATGGTGAAGACCATAGAGCTGCCGAAGGACACCAGAAACAAAATTGTAGACCTGCACCAGGCTGGGAAGACTGGATGGATGTAAGTGGGAGAACTTGCACAATTGGTGGCTGACTAAATACTTTTTTGCCCCACTGTAACTATGTAACTATATGTAACTATGTAACTATAAAATATAAAAAAGTATTCATGAGACATTCTGAGACATACAACAGATGTACCAGTAGAATCTATATTTTGTATTATTATGGTCATAGCAATACGGCAGAGTAATCTTTCTCGCTTCGCATTTTTCACAGAGACGATCCTTCAACTTCATTCCAAAAAGAAAGACACAAACCTAAGCGATTTTGTTTTTTACTTTTTTTTTTTTTTCTGTATTTCCTAAATTGTTGTCAGGCTGCGGTTTTGTCTGATGCCAAGTTTGCTTACAGAGGGCAGCACCAGGACCGTGGGAAAGCCCCGGCACCCCGGGGACAATTTTATGTTCTGCTGGCCTTGTTAATGGGCAGCCAATGGACAAGGAGGTAAAAAAAAAAAAACTCCCAATAAACAGGGTGATATCTGAACGCTCAAAGACAAGCGGGGAAGGGAGGGGGGGGGGGGGGTATCAACTCAACTGCATGAATCCATTAACTGCACTGGACTGAGAGGAGCACCGCAGGATGGACATCCCAATGACCATTTCATGACATACAACTACTGAAGGTGTCATTTTCTGATCGGCCAAAATTATTGAGTTTTATAAGAGAAAGAATAAAAAATCATATCTACTGAAACTTTGCAAGAAACCAACAAAGCTTCCGTCATGCCTAATGCGGCATTGCTGTAGATACCAGAAAGACAGAGCAAGTAAAGCAGGCCATACACGGGTCGAATTCCGAACGATTTTCCGATCAAAGATCGAAAACATTGTTCATTCCATAATCCGATGGTGCCACCAATGATTTCGAACATCGTTTTTCATGAATTTTTCCAGCGTGCCCGATAAACGAAATGGGGAGCAACCACGAAAATCGGCCGGTGCCGTTGCCCCACTAACAGAGCGAAAATCGGCCGGTGATTATTAGATCCGATATTCAAACAAAAAATCATTCGGAAACTGACCCATGTATGGCCGGCCTAAGTCCTCATGCACACAGGACGTTTTTACAGCGGCTGTTTTTGGCTTTCAACGTTTTTTTTTTTACAGCCAGTAAACCCCCAACATGTTATCCTATGTATCCATACACACACAGACTGGAATCGTTTTTTTTTTTGGCAGGGATGTCTTTTGGCTGGAAAAAAACCCCAGGAGTAGTGTGTTTCTAGAGTTTTTTTAGCTTCAAAAACACTCTAATGCTGAAAAACGCGGTAAATCGCAGCAAACCAGTGTTTTTGGACTTTTTTTGACCAAAAAAAATTTTTTTTTCTAGTAAAAAAAAAAAAATGAAAAAAACGCAAGCGCAAAAAAACACGGCAAAATGCAGCTAAACGCAAATACGAAAACGCTATGAAAAGCTGACGTTTTTAACGCGACTAACATTGCCAGCCTTATTAAAACCCCCAGTGTGCACGGAGACCAATAGTCACAACACTCCTTTATGGGTGTATATAAATAAAAAAGTAATAATAAAATAAATAAATAAATATATATATATATATATATATATATATATATATATATATATATGTACAGTATATATATGTGTATATATATATATATGTATGTATATGTATGTATATATATATATATATATATATATACATATATGCATATATATACATATTTATATATTATATGCATATCTGGAAGCCCCCTTTAATTAGGAACCCCTAGATCCCGCCCCCCCTCCATGTGAATGCGTAAGGGTACATGGTACCGCTACCCATTCACAAAAAAAAAAGGTGTAAAAATGACAGCAGACAGTCTTTGATATGTCCCCCAGAGTGGATCTAATGTCAATCACAATTTCCACCGCCACCGCCGACACGAAAAAAAAAAAGCGCTCCATTCCCGATGCTGGCTCCCGCCGTCTGACAGTTGCGCTGGGATGACAGTTCTTAAATGCTCTGATGTCACCCCGCCCCACTGTGATGTCATCACTCGCTGTGATTGGCCAAAGCATTGCCCCTGACCTGTGATCAGTGACAGTGCATTGTGGGGCGCAGCAGGCGAACAGCCCGCCAAATGCCCTTACGGCCGATGTTCGAGTCGGACTTAACCTCCTCCCGTCCGGCTGTTTATATACAGTGGCAGTGTAGGGTCGGGTGGCCATTTATAAACGGCCTCCCCGCCCCCTGCTTGTGCGCGCTCCCTGGGAGCACGTAACACCGCGATCCGGTGCCTGCTGTGTCCTCCGGACACAGTGGAACACCAATCGTCAGAAGGGACCTCTGTGCGAGGTCCCGATAATGTGATCACTGATTGGCCAATCAGTGATCACATGCAGATTAGTAAGCAAGATGTCACTTCTGACATCATTGCTTGCTATGTGTTAAATCTGTGAATGATCACAGAGGTCACATGGTACAGGGCCATTCACAATAGCCCTGTACCATGTGACAAGCTGTGACCAATCACAGTTCACACAGTATTTCTCAATGGCTGCAGGAATGCAGCCAGAGAGGAGAAATTATTGCTTGTACAGCCTTTACGGGTGTAAACGCAATCAGTGTAAAAAAAAGAAATCCTCATCACCCCCCACAAGTAGTACAGTGTCACTATGGTGTCACTGTACTGCTAGGGTGACAGTATGTTAGAAAAAAAACATAAATAATAATATAAAAATAAAAATGTAAAAAAAAAGTTTAAAAATTATAATTTTTGGTTATAAACTAATTTGAGTTATAAAGATAACGGAATACATGATGGCCAAGATTTATGATTAAATATTATTTATTTGCAAAATATTATAAGAAAAACACTTTTTTCAAAATGTTTGGACATTTTCATTTAAATAGCAAAAAAAAATAAAAATACCAGCGGTGAATAAATAAAAAAACACCAAAATAAAGCGTTCCACACAAAACCCCAAAAATGGACCAGACAAAATTATTGGCACCTTCTCAGAATTGTAAGAAATAATTGCATTCCACGTCTGCGACTCTCCTGTAATTTGTCATCAATCTCTCCCATATCCATGACCAGGTGATGACAACATAGAAATCACACCGACAACCGGGGACAATGGGGACAAATGGCCTCCGCCTTTCTGTTGGGTGTCTCTGTGTCCCACATGGAGCATGGAGGAGAGAAAGAGCAGAAAAGAATTGTCTGAGGATTGGAGAACAAAAATTGTGGAAAAGCACCGACAATCTCAAGGTGACAAGTCCAGCTCCAGAGATTCTAATGTTCCTGTGTCCACTGTGCGCAGCATTATCAAGAGGTTTCCAGCCCATGGCGCTGTAACTTATCTCCCTGGATGTGGACGAA